CAGTTGCAGAGAGATGCTCTTTTGGAACTGAGTGTCAGAAATTCTAATGAGAGGCAGGGATGGTTCTCTATGGTGGGTAAAAGAGATTAATTTTGTTTTTGAGGCATTAAATTCAACCAGTCATTTCATGCCCCAGTCAACAAAAGATTGGAGGTTCTTTTCGAGACCAACTGCCGGGTTAGTTTTGTCAGTTTTAACCAAACTTATATAAATGAAATATTACTTCCCTTGTATAATTATGAATAATACATATTAACAAGTTCTTTGATGTATTGAAAATCATCTGATAAATATTTAAATATGTCAGTGAATATTTTACTGTATCAAATGAAGAAGTCCGGTGACAAGGGACATCCTTGAAACGCTAAGCAATGTATTAAGAAGCAGAAAAGATTTCATTAGAGATAAAGAAAAGATTATTGAACTGTTACGTAATATTTGTCCTCCAAACTGGCAGTGAATGCTAGACAATCATCTGACAATTAAAAAGATTCTTGAAGCAACAGAAATATGGTTCTATGGAAAGGATGCTGAGAAGGCCCTCAATCGATCATGTGAGCAACGAAGAAGTTATAGAGAAAAAGGAAGCAGAACTTTTATTTAATATCAGAAAGAGATAATTGAAATTTCTAAGGTATATACTGAGGAAAGAGGGCTCGGAAAATTTGATACTCACAGGTCAGATTGAGAGTAAGAGAGACAGAGGAAAGCAACGTATAAGCTACCTAGCGTGCCTGAGTAAATGGATGACAGAAATAGTTTTAGGTGAGCTAACAAAATACAGAATTTATGAAGAGCTACAAAGACTAGGAAATTGGGGAGGGTCATGATCTTTAACGTCCTGAAGGGACACGTTATATAGAAGATTTCATAAGGTCATAACAAGTTGTGAAGTAATGCTTACTTATTGCAAAGCGTAACCACAAAACAGCTTCAGCGTACACAAAAGACAATTTCTTTTTAAAATATTCTAAAATTATAAAAGTTAACTTGGAAATTTCCAATATTTTAACACGTGAAATGAAAGCTCCGAGATTCTTGGTGCAATTACTTCAGTCTAATGAGGATATTGACATTTTTGAAAAAAAAAAAAAAAAAATTCGATCTCTTCTCGCAGAAATCTGCCGTATCTGTGTTCCAAACGCATTCTAATAAAATTGAAAATACATTTTTCGCGAGGCGTCTAGCAGTATTCTAAAGAAATGAATAAAATACGATAAAATGGAAGAAAGTCGGAGGAATATGAAATTCTTCAGAAAATTATTTGGCAGTCTCGCTTCTTAAAAAATATGAGATAAAAAAAAAGGTCTCCTCGCGTGTCTCTGAGCACACACAATAGAAAGACAACTGCTGGCTCATTGAACTGCTCACACGGGAACGTTTCGTTCCCACTCAATCCCCCTTTTCAAGTGAATTTCCTTTGTGACGTCACTGGAGACATGATTTGCAACATCTGCTGTAAAAGCAGCGAGAATTCTATCAGAGTTTCTCAAGCGCCTTTGAGCAGGTGACCCGATGCGCATTGATCTAGTTCCTCTCCCTTTACGTCTTTCTTTCGCCTCTTTTCGTCGATATTTGGCAATAGTCGTTATCTGCACGGCATGTGGCATCAGAGTGCCGAGTTCAAACCCGATGGGGAGCGTGGCGTTTACTCTCGCACAAATACCCTTGGAAAACTCAAGAATCCCTATCTTTTTCTGTACGGAGATAAGTAACATGTTAGTTCTGGGTTTCTAGCGCTGACTGATAGCTATTCTAAGAAAACAGAACAATACCATCAAATTTAAAATCGTGGATAAGCCAACAGGAAACGATACAACTGTCTTTTACAAGAAGTTATGCCATTTCACAGATTCCTTATGCATATCCGTATATCGTATCCGAGGATGCCCGTCTACTAGAGAGGCTAGCCAATCCCTTTTGCAGACGCCTTCTCAGGCACATTTTGTGTTTGTTCACAGATCAAACCTGTGGCTTATATTGCTACTATGCTGAGCGGATCTTAGTTACAGTTTTTTAGTTACAGAAAGCGTGCTATCTAGCGTGATCAACAGCATAAACAAGGCAAGCTCGCTCAAAACCTCAGTCACGATGACTTGTGTCTTCGTGCTAAAACAAAGACGGCTCCCAATTTCACTCGCAAAGCTTTCAGACATTTTCCAAAGGTGCCGCAGGCTGGGATCGCCTCACCCAGACCGACAACATAAAGAAGTTACTTTCCGACAAATCGACCATGGTGAGATTCGAACCCGGGTCTTATGGTCAGAAAGTGAACGCTGTAACCACTCGGCCCCGTGCCCATTTAAATACATATATACATAACTATTTTTTGTTGAGGAAGGACCGGGATTTATCTTGCATGAAGTAAGGTGGGTCCTGCCCGAAAACGGATGTGTCATATTGATTTGAAGCAAAGTTTTAGAAGGCTGGATGCTCTTCCTGGCGCCCAACTCAGACACTGACGGGAATCCAACCGAGTGCGTAAATTTCAGTGTGTACACCTGTCTCGAGTGGTTTGTAACACTCTACTTATCATCTCTCACTGCGCTCAGGCGCGCCTCCGTCGCAAGTAGACCAGCCCTGGGGAACAGTTGCCCGAGGCCGCGCCCTCTCATTGCACGGGGAGAGAGGGATTGGTGCTAGCACCGAGGCCAGCGTCACCGAATGTTTTTAACGAGACAGAAATCCCTAGAAAGTTTGCATCAATATCTCAGAAATTTCTGTTATGACTTTCTCATCGTTTACCGCACTTTCTTTGTAATTGATAGTTGAATTGAGAGTGGATGTTTTGGCAAAGGAGAGAGCCATGTTCACACACATCTTGATGGGGCACGCCACTGAGAAGTCGTATTTTCCGGGAACGAATCGAAAACAAACCGATTTCTTCAGGGTTTTTTTCCCGCAGTAGGTTTTTTCTCCGGTAGAACCCGGTTTCTATTTACCCATAGCTGGGAGGGGGGTGTTGCGGAGAAGAAGAGGATTTCTTACCTATCTCAAGGGTATTAGCACGTATATGAATGTAATGGATTCGACTGGAATTCGAACTCGGCTCTCCGATTCCTCAATCCGAGTCGCTATCCATTATTCTACCGTACCCCCACCCACTAATTCGAATTTACTATTTCTATTTGTCATTATGATCAGCTATACATTAGACCACTCGCACATCCCAAAACATTGAAGACAATATGTAAGAAGTGATAGATTATATATATATATATATATATATATATATATATATATATATAATGTTTTAAACTTTGATATTTAAAAAGTTCTTGTTTCTAATGGTGTGACAATGCCACACAGTAATAACGGAAGTTTAAGAAAATAATGACTGAAACAATTCGTATATTTGTCACTAAAATTTTCTGTTTTTGAGATTTTCTAACAAAGAGAGACCGTTTTCTTTTCTTACAGAGTGCATGCCTTCAGAAAGCTGTAGAATGAAGCGGCTGTAACGCTGAAAAAATAATAATAATAAAAAAACTAGAAGTATGGATTTAGCAGTAGGAAAGACTCTTGAAATGATAATAGTTCTTTCCAAGATGAATAGAGTTGTCTCTATGAAATTATGTCGACTCAGGTTCTTCGTACTGACTGGGTCGTTTTTACACTGTGAGAAGATTATCTTTATATTCTTACTACCTGGAGAACATAAGTAGCTTCAGATGAACATTACAGTTATTTTTTCCTGAACGCTATAGTACCCGCCACCTACTAAACAGCTCTCGGATTTCGGAATTGAACTCGTTCGAGAACACTTTGCGACCCGCGCTGAGTGACCAGCCGTAAGCTCTCAAGCACCAGACAGATAAGCGTTTCCGGTAACGAGGGACATGCCGTACAATAGCAATTCTGCGCAAGCGTATTCAGTCATTAGATCTCCGTTGGAATGTACATAGAAAAGATGGCGGCTGAGATGAAGAGAAAATGATTGGATGTACTTTGGATAAAAAAAAAAGGAAATAAAAGAAAAAGAAAGTCGCAAAAAGATTGTGAAAGGGAAGATAAATTTTAGGCGAGAGTGAAGGAATTAACACATACCGTCAATTCATACATGTGATTATATATATATATATATATATATATATATATAAAATTCTAAAATTTTAAAATTTACTGAATATATATAAAATTCTAAGCTATATATATATATATATATATATATATATATATATATATATATATATATATAGTTATTTAGGCAACAATTTTCATTTATACATGTTTCATTAAAGAAAAGCACACATTATTATCTATGTATCTCAACGTATTTGAAATTTTGTGTATTACTGAGTGAAGATAACACACACACATTTTATATATATATATATATATATATATATATATATATATATAAAATGGATATATGAATAAAAAGAGACACCTGTATATAGTAATCGAAAATCGAGATTGGTTCGGAGAAAGAAAAGAAGAAAGTTGAATGGAGAAGACGAATATAGTCTTACATTGATATAAAACGAAATATTTTGTGTTTATAGAAGAAAGTAAAAACAAAATAACAATACGCATCCTAAACCAAAATGGAGATAAAAAGAAAAAGTTTTGGAGTTATAAATATAATTCGAAAGGAAGGAAAGAGAGAAAAAAATGAAAGAGAAGAGAAAGGAAAGGAAATGAAAGAGAAGAGGAAAGAAAGGAGAAAGGAAAGAAAGGAGAAAGGAAAGAGGAGAGAAACGTAAGAGAAGAGAAAGGAAAGGAAAGAGAAGTGAATAAAATGAAGCGAAGAAAGAGACAGAAAGAAAAAAAGACAGAAAGAAAGAAAACAAAACACCAAAAATGATTCATTGTTTGCTTAACTCATTTTACTGCTGTATAATGCTATAAATGCGGGACACCCAGTTAGGATAGGATACATTAGAGTATTGTACACAATCTACTTGATAACAATTACTCCCCGTCAATGTATTCATACATGATTACTGAATAAATGCAGAGAGAGAGAGAGAGAGAGAGAGATCGCAAGAGAAAGATAATTAAACAGAAAGAGAAGGAGCCAGAGAGAGAGAGAGAGAATGAAAGAGAAGGGACAAGTGAATGAAAGCAACAAGAGAGAGGGACAATGAAAGAGAGAGAGAATGAACGAGAGAGAGACCGCAAGAAAATGATAGAGAGAGAGTAAGAGAAGGAAAAAGAGAGAGAGCAAGAGAATGAAAAGAGAGAGAGAGAGAGCAAGAGAATGAAAAAGAGAGAGAGAGAGCAAGAGAATGAAAAAGAGAGAGAGAGCAGGAGAATAAAAAAGAGAGAGAGAGCAGGAGAATAAAAAAGAGAGAGAGAGCAAGAGAATGAAAAAGAGATAGAGAGCAAGAGAATGAAAAAGAGAGAGAGAGCAAGAGAATGAAAAAGAGAGAGAGAGCAAGAGAATGAAAAATGAGAGAGAGCTGGAGAATGAAAGAGAGAGAGCTGGAGAATGAAAGAGAGAGAGAGCTGGAGAATGAAAGAGAGAGAGAGCTAGAGAATGAAAGAGATAGAGAGCTAGAGAATGAAAGAGATAGAGAGCTAGAGAATGAAAGAGAGAGAGCTAGAGAATGAAAGAGAGAGAGAGCTAGAGAATGAAAGAGAGAGAGAGCTAGAGAATGAAAGAGAGATAGAGAGCTAGAGAATGAAAGAGAGATAGAGAGCTAGAGAATGAAAGAGAGATAGAGAGCTAGAGAATGAAAGAGAGAGAGAGCTAGAGAATGAAAGTGAGAGAAAAGAGAAGGGAAAGAGAGAGAAAGCAAAAGAAAAAAAGAAGAAAGACAACAGAATAAGAGAAAGGAGGAGGAGAGAACTGAAAGGCTTGGAATGTGCATGTCTGACACCCCATGAGCTTTTCAGTTTAACTGAACCCATGTGAGATCGGACGCTTTTATCTCAAACAAAACCACAGGACAAAGAACTTTGCTCGGGAGTTGACAAGATAAATTTTATACATCCAGCTTGCGTGCCTCATGAAGGCACTAGAGTTCAAATCCAAATAAATAATCAATAAACAAGTGAATGGTGCCCTATTATAAATCTAATACTGGCCGGGAGGCGTGGGTCTTTTCGCTCCAAAAGAGACAGGAATCCTATGGAACCAAATGATATTGTTATACTTCTACACTTCTTGGAATTTACGTGATTTTTCATACCGGGTGTACACATCTCGCAAGCTGGTTTTGTGAAATTAAATGGTTGACTTATTAGTGAGAAATCGGACGACACGCGTTGTGATATTAGCCGCGCACAGATTGGGAAAGAAAGGAAAAAAAATTGATTTGGCATGTGGCCAGGAAATTCTCTTGACCTCATTTCCTTTAAGAGACGTGAATTGGAGCCATGGTAAAAATTACATGGTGAATTCTCTACAGAATTTGGCGAAGATAGAGAGGAACTCAAAGACGAATAATAAATGTTCAGAACAACCTCGTGTAAATTTCCTGAAGGTAATGAATGAAAAATAAAAAAAAAACAACTAATGATGTACATTTTGAAAAATAATTTGCAGTACATTAATGTGGAGCAATCATTTCTTAAAAGATATGATTTTTTTTTCGGTTTTATTTTTTTTTTTTTTTTTTTCGTGTCTGCTCCGTAGACTGACAGTCGGGATGAATCCAGTGAAAACCAATTGGAATTAAGGCGAAAGAAAAATCTCCAGAAAAGGCTTTGGTTGTTCGACGCAAGAACTAACTCTTGTATTTACATGAAATCTTTTCCAGCTTTTAAGGTATTCATGACTATTTTTGAACGCCCATCTGCGTTCAGAATTAACAATCAACAGCGGAAGTAGAAGTGTGAACGAAAATTTTTTTTTTTTTTTGGTTATAATGTTTTTTTTGTTAATGAAATGTAAATATCTTGGGCTAAATTGAAGTGTATTTTTTCTTGATACTGACGGCCATTTTCTTTTCTTCTCGAATGTCCGACTTTCTAATCTATTGGTCTTCGTAATTCCTTTTTTCTCTTTCAAATCGTTCGCATTTTTATTTCTATTTGCTTGCATACTGCAAGCTATCGCATTTTTTGGTTCTTTCCCTTCAACTTGCTTCCTGCTTTACGCTATCTTTCCTATCCAATTTTTACTCCATTGTCAACGATAGCATCTTTTTTTAAAAATTCAGACCTTTTTTCTAATAATTCTAACTCAAACCTTTGACTTTTTGTTGTTTCTATTGTGTTGTGTATTGCTGGCGGCATAGGTTTCTTCCTTTCTTCATTCTTTTCTTCTTTACACCATTTTCTTTTCCCTATTTCATTCTTGTTTACTTACTTGTTCCTATTTCAAGTTCTTTCATTCTTCCTTAATCTCTTTATTCCAATTTCAAGTTTTTATTCTTCATTTCTTTCTTTTGCACATTTCAAGTTCTTTCCGTCTTCCTTATGGACTTGCTTCCACATTTCAAGTTTTCCATTTTACTTTCTTTTTCTCCAATTCAAGTCCTTTCATTCTTCCTTGTTCCTGGTATTAGTTCCTGCTTTCTCTTTTCTCCATAACTTATTTCCTTGTTCCTTACACTATTGCCCATATTACTATTCATATGGCCCTTCAGGATGTTGGCGATGAATGCTCTCCACAACTTCCTGTAAATATACAAGTTTTACCATCAGTCTTGTTTTGCTATCCATTCGCTCAAAATCTTTACGGAGATCATGCTTCGCTTGCTTTATATATATATATATATATATATAATTCTCTCTCTCTCTCTCTCTAAATATATATATTACTCGACTCTCCCGTCGAATTCGACGTATGAGGGTCAGGCAGATCAGCCGGACACCAGCACATGAGATTTGATTATAAGTGGTGAAGGTTTTGTGCAGAAGCATCCAAACGTTTTGAAGGGCCGAATACAGAGAGCTTTCTACAAGGTCCCCAAACGACCCTCCGCAGGTTTTGAATTCAGAGTTTGTCATCGCCTAGACCAGTTGCCATGCTCCTAGCTGGAGGAAAAAGAGAAGCATTAATACCTTTCCCAACGGTATTAGCACGTAAGTGAATGTAATGAATTCTACTTGAATTCGAATTCTGCTCTGCGATTCCTCGAATCCAAGCCGCTAACCATTACTCCACTGTGCCTCTTACTATATATATATATATATATATATGATTATTTATTTAAAAATATGATTTATGCTCTACTATTGTATCGAGTACTATTTTTTAAAAATAATAACTAAAATACTAAGGAACTTTGGATTATTTACCTAACCAGTTCCTTCCTATTTTCTATATATTTTCATACACACACACATATATATATATATATTATGTATTACTTCATAGGAATCTTATGAGTATAAGAAACTATACTCGCTCCGAAAACCTTCGGTATATTGGTTTGCAAATAAACAAGCCAATACCAAAGGGGAAAAAAGGTATAAAAAAAGAAAGAACCAAGAACAAGTACGTTTACCGAAAATAATCGTCCAGCATACGAGTTCAAGGCCCAAAGAAAAAAACCCGATGCGAATATCCAAAATAAGTAAATAAAGTGCTCATGGCCTTATACGAGAGTCAGTTCTGATATATATATATATATATATATATATATATATATATATATATATATATATATATATAGTGTCAGATTCTCCAGGCCTTCTTTCCTCGGTATGTACTTCATATGTCTTTCTGATAAGTTTCCTGTTTGTTTAGATTTCTTCGTTGCTGACGTGTTCTGTCCATGATATTCTCAGCATTCAGCTGTAGAATCACCTCTCTGTTGTTTCTAATCTTTTTCACCACCTAACTATATCTGCCATTTTTGGTCTTTCCATTTCTCTTTCGTTCCTCTAATTTCTGCCATCTTTCTTTGCTCTCCTCTTCTCTTTCGCTTCCTAACCTCTCTCCAATTCATTTTATTCTCTCTGATTTCTTTGTTTCTTCTTTCTTTTTTTTTGGTGGGGGGTTGCTTTTTCGATTCTTCCTTCTTCATACACTTTCATTTGCTGTCCGATTTCTTCGTTCGTTTCAGTTCACTCCCGGTCGCTTTTGTTTTACCATCGCCTCGGTCTATTTTCATAACTGGCATCATTCAGATGCTAACAACGATAAAACATATTTTAGATTTTTTTCTTTCTGCACCAACAGATCGTTTTTCTTATTTAGAATTTCATTAACTGAGGATTTTCTCATCATCAAGCTCTATTCGATTTTTTTGTTTGTTTTTTTTTTTTCGAAAATGAAGACAAACTGGTGAGGACAAATGAAAAAGAAACAAAAAAAAAAAAAACTCTGCGGAAATCGACATCGAAGTATTAAAAAAATACAATTTAAAAATAAACAAGAAACAGATTTGCAACATGAGATCCCCCCCTGCACCATTTTATCTTAGAAATTAACCGAAAATAAATAGAAAAAAAAAAGGAGGGTGAAATTTCTAAACTATCGATTTTATTGATTTTAATTAATTTTTCTTTTTTGGACTATGATTTGTTTTGCACATTTTTTTTTTTTTAATTTTAATTCTTTGTCAGAGTTTTTTTTTTTTTCGGACACATGAACCAATTTTCTGTTTTCTTTTAATCTGGTGGAGAAAAAAAATGAAAATATCTTTGAAAAAGAAACAAGAACCGAAATCAGATTCAGATGCAATAAAAAAAAAAATTAGAAAAAAAAAAATTTCAGGTTTGGATTAGGAAATTGATATTTCGCCCAAGCGCAAAATTGTTTCATGTTTATTTTTTTTTTATGTCTTATTTATTTATTTAGCAACTTATATTCATTTTAAATGTTTGTTCTTTTTTCGTTATTTTTTAAAAATTTCTTCAGCACATATTTGTTAAATTGATTTTTCCCTGTAAATTTTTGTCTGTATGTAGATTTGTCACACGCTCATTGCAACTGCTCTTGTTTTCTTTTATTTCGTGATAGTAAATGGATACGTTTGTTTAGTCTTCTATAAATTTAGAATTAAAAGAATCAAGTAGAAAAATTCTCTCTTTTCTTCGTTTGAAATTTTGTCCAATTTTTTTTTAATTCTTTAATCCAACTAATCCAAATTGCTTTCGATGAAGTAAAACAAACGTTAAGCCAAACTCGAAAAGTTTACTCATATTTCTAAAAACCGGTCCAGGTGGACATCCTGAAGTTAAGAGTTCGATCTCTATTTTATCCAGTTTATTTTAAAATATATCAATACTGATCAATGAATTATATTCAGTTAGTTTACTTTAGTGTGATTGCTTTAACAATATATCAACAAAAACAACCAGGATTTAAAAGAACAGCCAGGTTTACCCCAGAGTCCAGAAAGTAGATATAAAAGCAATAGGTACCAGACTTTGTAATAACCATTCCGGTGGTGGCTCATTTTGGGTAGAATATCTTTCTTTAGATTATACAGTTGGCATATTCTTAGAGTCAAATTCTGTTTGAATATTTCATTTGTATGATATGCGATCGATGTCTTTACTATTCAGCACTAATTTATGTGTATCAACAAAGAACGCAGTTATGGTGAAAAATTACCATCTGCTTTTTGCATAAAATAAATGCTTCCTTCATCAGTAGGATGCAGATAGATACTTTCACACGCAAAAGCACACACATATATATATTACATTTCTCTCTCTGTATATATATATATATATATATATATATATATATATATATATATATATATATTATTTCTTATTTCGTTTTTTAATAATATATTAAGTTTGGCTGCTACGCATTGGCGTTTTAAATAACATGCTCTCTCCCAGAAAGTGCAACGAAGGTCTGCTCAGCATAGTTGCAGTATAAACCACAGGTGGGCTCTGTGGGTGGTGAACAAACACAAATGGACCTGAGCGAGCGTCTGCAATAGGGATTGACTAGCCACCCTAATAGACGGGTAT